CATTGAACTCTGTAATATATGTATTTAGCCTTAGTATAATGTTGCACGTGAATTAAAAAGCATATAGGTGAGCACGTGAAGTGTATCATCGTTCGGCTTGTAGGTAGACTTAGACGGTGCTATTTAGATATGTTTCTGCTGTTTGATAGGACGACACGAGACTTGTGACGCTGACCTAAATTTCAGAGAGCTACAGGTGGCTGGCATACAACGATCTGGAAATGCCACCGCGACAAAGCTTTGGGACAAAAATTTGACTTGATATTACTATGTTCATGAATTTGGGGTATTTCACGAACCGGCCTCATTATACTACTTTCACTATGGAGGGAGATTCACCCATCACCGACGAAGAGTGCGGCCGCATAAAGGGCCTCCATGAGGCCGGCCGCAGCGTTCGTGGGATCGCCAAGAGTGTGAAGCGCTCCCCAAATGGCGTCAGCTACGCCCTCCAGCTCTTGGGGAAGCGGAGGGGGCGTCCATCTACCCTTTCCGACAGACAAGTGCGCCAGGTCGTTCGGGCGGCCGCCACGGGAGATTTCTCTGCAGCTGAGCTGAAGGCGGAGCACAAATTATCGTGCTCGGTGCGTACCGTGCAGAGACTTCTGTCTCGAATAGACTTCCTAGCTTACTCTAAAATGGATCGTACACTGCCACTGACTAAGGAACACCAGGCTGCTTGCCTTGAGTTTGCCAAGAGGCTCTCAACAGCAGCAGAGAAGGAGGTTGATCATTTTTTTCCGACGAAAAAAAGTTCAACCTTGATGGCCCTGATGGGTTCAAGAACTACTGGAGAGACCTAAGGAGCCCTCCCCGCCGCTGCATGTGTCGCCAAAACGGGGAAGGGTCTCTGATGGTGTGTGTGGGGGGGTGTGTCGGGGGGGGGGGGAAGGGGGGGGGTTGTGGTCAAGGGGAAGTCTGAGCTGATGGTACCGAAGGGGCGCCAGAACTCCCTAGACTACATCTACACTATCTCGGACCATCTGCTCCCGTCCGCACACCGCAACTACGGCACCGACTTCGTTATCATGTAGGACAACGCCTCCATTCATGCCTCAGACGAAACAAAGTCATTTTTCAAAGAGATCCGGGTGCGGCTACTGGACTGACCAGCTCGTTCCCCCCGATCTCAACCCAATTGAAAATGTGTGGGCTGTTTTGGCGCGAGAGGTCTACAACCACGGCAAGCAGTATAGCTCCGTGTCTGAGCTTACTGCTGCGGTGATGGCGGCATGGAAATCAGTAACGATGAAAGAGCTACCTGATCTAATGGACAGCATGCCAATCAGATGCTTCGAGG